ACAGCAGAAGTCGGAGCTTGACAGACGAGATCTTATGGAGCACGCAAAGTGGTTTGTTGTGTAACACACAAGTAAAATTCCAAATCACAGAGAAGATAGTGGGAAAACGGAACGAGTTTGGAAATAAAGCGGAGAAGTTGCAATAAGTTCCGTAATAAGGACATCATAAATTTACAGCTGTCAGATAGCCTGACAAACATCATAGAGTTTTTTTATCTTCACCGCGAATAAATGTCTCCTGTAATCGAGAAGATGTGTCTCTAATTCTGACAGAAAGTTTGTTTTAATAAAAATCAGACGTAAAGATAAAACTCAACATAATTTGTTAGGAATACATATTAGATATATTCAGGAGGTTACAAGAACATATAAAAAAAATCTTATCCGTCCTAAACAGTTTAAAAATATTTTTTTATAAGATTAGTTTGGTAAACTTACTAAACATATATATAACAAATGCAGAAATTTAATGGGAAATATGAAGGATCTCTTTCCCTTAAATACAGTACATATTAAATAAATACACTAAAATATAAATACACTATAATATAGAATTTCGATTGCAATCACATTTTTGTATTCTTGCTTTTAACTCTGCTTAATATAAAAGAAAGAAAAAAAGTTCTATGGGTCGTTCTCGGGAAAACTGTCATTTAGGGGCTAAAAAAATTTAAAATTAAATTGAAAAGAATAGTAACTTATAATATCATTGTAGTTTCTAATTAAGACAAGAAATATTTCCTCCTTTTATAAAGTAGCAAAAAATTCATTATTCAAATATAACAATAGTAGTTGCTTAGTTTATTTTCTTTATTATTATTAAGCCACACGCATATATGCTTATTTCAAACAATCAACTTATTATATTCCATTCTTGAATTGTGCTGTTTCATTAATGCTGATGCTTATTTTACGTTTATTTTAAGTTTTTTTTTTCAGAAATTTTTTTTAAATGCAAATAAATTTGAATATAAAGTTTTAATAAAAAACCAAGTAGTAATTATAAAACCGAGAAAAAGATGTTCCTAATTCAACATAAAATTTTAAAATCACAGAAAGTGGGCATATCAGTTGCTTATGTCATAAGCGATCGACTGCATAAAAATAATAAATAAATTTTTACAAAATAGCTCCACTATTGTCCTTTTTAACTGATTTATGAGAAATTCCGGCAAAAAGATTACCATGTTACATTACAATACACTTATTTTTTTCTAAACAGGTATTGTAAAATTTTCAGTTTAAAATTTTTTTTTTCAATTTCGACTTATTTTTACAGAAATTCAAAAAAGATATAAAATGAAAATATAAAATCATTTTAAGCATAGAAGCCCATCAATTGAAGTCAGTCACAACACATTCATGTATTTCAAAGAAAACATAATCACTCCAAAGACACAAACCCAAAAAATTATAACACTGGGGATATCAAACCAGTAGGTTGTTATTTCTAACTCATTATGAAAATAAAACGATAATACGAATAAAAAATAATGACGGTGGATCCGCATGATTTAACAAGCAAGCGAAATTCCAAATGAATCTTTCTCCTTACTGCATTATGCAGAGGTTCCATTAAATTATAATTCCACATCCAGAAAACAAAATTCGTGAAGTAAACAATACATTTCAAAAGAGAGGCCATAGAAGATGAGAGGAAAAAAAATCACGAAACAGATATAAATGCGACAGAAACAAGGTTTCATGTTTTCTAAAGGCGAACTTTGTGTATCTTAATTTACTAGGATTTAGGGAGTAACTAAAACTAAGTTGGGTAAGGGATAGGAAAGGAATCATACCCCCCTTTTTTCCGTTTAAATATTTCCGGCTCATTCGCTGCGTTAGAGATCAAGGCAAAAGGAGCGTCATTACTTTTATTTGGAGTCTGGAAGCAAGTAGCTTAAAGATCGTCGACGTTCTAGAAAAACTGGTTCAGGGAAATTTGTTCCGTACAAATCGTAATTGGACGATATTAGATGACTGGGAGCTCTCGTGGAAAAAAGAAGAAATCCTAAATAAGCTCCGCTGGGAAGAAATAAAACGGTGTTAAGCAATTGTACGAAGCAAAATAGCTGTTTATGCAATAAATGAAATTGTTAATTAAATTAGTAGGACAGAAAAGTGAGAACAAAATAGTTTAGAAAATAAAAATTTTAAAAAGAATTGTGCATAGAATTGTTTAGAATATTAAATTGTAAAAACGCAAGGCATTATTTGTAGAAAAATAAATAAATAAACAAGACCTAGATCAACCGATCAATGTAGCTATTTGATTTACAGATGTTTGGGTAATAATGAGAAATGTAGATACTTATAAAAGATCCCAATATTGCGATTTGAAAAACTGCAACAACTTGCAAGAAAGTTATTACTAGCTATATAGGACCAGGCATTATTAGCTATATAGCACCAGGATAGTACAGTATTTCCTTCTAATAACTCACTAATACATGCATTCATTCATTTATCCAACCATCCACTCACACGCTCATTCATTCGGCCAACGTTTCATTCATTCGCTCTTACTTACCCTGGCTCGTAACAACCATTCAACTATAAAAGTAGACACACAATGTCTGACTACAAAGTTTTCTGTCGCATTAAAATATGACTTGGATCACAGTTTATATTCGCGAAAGTAAAATTTAAACCGAAGTAAGCTTTAAAAAAATACTTATTACAATATAAAAGCAAGTTAAACGGCAGGCAAAAAACTGTTCTTAAAAATGCACCTAGATGTTCAACTAAGCAAAAGCATTTTACGCATCCATTTATTCATCAAAGCTTTTCCGGGATGATTATCGATCAAAAAACAATATTTCAAAACACTTATTTTATTTCAAATCCAACCCTCTATTTACCTGAAATATAGCGGGAAGCAGAGGGAAGATAAAAAAACACAAATCTCTTTTTACAAATGTAAAAGGAGGATAACAGATATCATTATTTAAAATCCTCTTATCTCTTCAAGAAAAAAAAAGGAAAAAAAAGAGCAGAGGGTTAAAAGAGAACAAAAACCACACATCAATGATGAATGAAAGCTTTGGGTGTGAAATAACGGCTAACTCAAGAGAAATAAAGGTAGAAGGGGTGAAAAAAAAGTAAATAGCAGTGCTTACAAGATTAGGATAACACAAAAAATAAGTATAAGATATGGGGGTAATTTTGGGTCTTATCCAAAGCAGGCTGAAACCCAGAGTTCATCGAGGTAGGGTAAAGGAACAGTTCTTTTTATATGATTCCGTTAAACTTTTTGAAAGTTCGCAGGCTCCTCGCTAAGGAATATTAATGATTCTCGAACGCTATTTTACAAAGGAGCGTTGGGTTGTGAAAGTTTGCGTCTCATAAGGGATAAAATGGAAGGGTATGTTTATTTGGATGGAATTTTTATGCAAAACATAAATAATAGCAAAGCGTGTATAAAAATGTTAATTTTATATAAATTATAGGTTTGGAAGATGTGTACATTTTAATAAAATAATCTTGAGTATTGATTATTAAAGTGAATATTTATCTTAAAGGAGTTTTTGTTTTAAAAAAGGGAAGGATAGCACAGACGCTAAAACTAATTTTATCTTTATTAGATTATCTAAATTCCAAAAAATATATATATTTTAAAAAATTTAAAAAAAACACTTTTTTACCAAAATTTGATTTACATTTGATAAGTTTATTTTAGATATTTATATAATCATTTTCACTATCTACTATCTGAGGATTTAGAGACGCTAATCAATGAATAATGTTAACCAAATAAATATTTTATAAATAATGACACAATCAGTCAAATTAATCTAAAAAGAACAAACAAAAAGCAAAAGCAATTTAGTTAAATCAAAATTAAATATTCCGTTATGCTAAATTTCCAGGAGACAAGATGATACTTACATTTTTAAACTAGCACACAATGAATTAGTATCAGCTAAAAACTTTCAACAACAAAACAACAACAAACAACAACAAAAAATTTAAGTTTGAGTTAGAATCTGAAAACAGAAAATTTCCTTGTGGAAAATAGAAAATGCCAAAGAATTCGGAAAATTCCGAAGAATTATATTATCCCCAATATGCGTTTCCTGAACTGAAATTAAATTATATTAATATGGTCTAAAATTTGTTTCCTTAAACATGTCTATTGATAAAGTTCCATTGCAGCATTGCATTTTATATGATGAATTCCATCAAAATGGAAATGAAGAAACGTTTTTGACTTGGTAATAATTAATACGAAATTTAAAATAAAATACTCATGGCAACAAACAAGATTTTCGAACACCATCAATGATGATAATAGTAAGATCATTTTACAGGAAAATGCTAAAATTGAAAAAAAAAATTATTTTATTTGTACTAAACAACCGTGGCTCAGGCGATAGAACGTTCGCCTCCCTATGAGGTGACCCAGGTTCTAATTCCGACGTTAACTAGTTTATACGAATTTTGCTCCCGGCTCGCACTGACCACAATGTTGGGGTAAAATATCCTCGGTGGTAGTTAGATCATGGGTTAGAATCCCCTTGCCATCGGGCTTACTGTGGGAGATTTTTATGATTTTCCACACCATGTAAAGCAAATAGAGGTTAATTCTAGCAGAAAGTTTTTCACGAAAGCTAGTTTGTCCCAATATTTGATTCAGGAGTTCCCTTGTCTTTTGGAATGGGTTCGAAATGACAAGGCTATGTAGTTTAACATTGATAGTCGTAAGCTCAGAATCGGGTCGGCTGCTCAACGCCGGTTATAGAATTTACATTTACAATTATGGGAAAAGAAATTTAACTTAAACGGTAAAATAAACAGAAATATCTGGTGACCTGACAACATTAAAAGTCTTAAAACATTTATCGATCTCGTTTTAATGTTCAACGTGAATTTCCACATTTCACTAAAGGCTTTTAAAACTGGAACGAAAAAGCACTTAAAACTTTTCTCTCCTTCCAAAGAAACAAGGAAAAAAATGAATAAAAAATTAAAAAGAAAAAAAAACACAATAAAACGACTACCTGGACCCATGCAAGGAGATGGCAATTTCGAAACATCTTCAGAATCTTCGTAAGGGACGCAGTACATATCTTCTTCTTCATTCTTCGTCCAAGGGGACGGCGTTACGTCGTCCACAGGTGACATATACAAAGGATCACAGTCTTCGTTTTCGTAAGTATTGTTACTAACAATTTCACGCAGCAAGTCTGCGGGCTCACTGTAGTTTTCAAAAACTACCAACTGAAAAAAAAAAGTTATGTTATTAGAAAATTAGCGTTGATCCAACTTCATAGCTATCAATCGAAGAAGGTAAAATCAACATAATTTGAAACGCAGCACAAGATATCGTAATTTAAAAAATGAAAAACACAAAATAAATAGACACATTTTTATTTACAGTGAAATCCTAAAATTAATTTTTTTTTTTTAAAAAAAACACGACTTTATAGTGGAGTTTATTCTCCACTATATTGTCATATGTGATAATTATAGTGAAGTTCTAATCTTTCCAAAATGGCAAAAAAACATACCTTTTACATAAATTAACTTAAGCTTGTAATGTATAAAAAATCCCCCATTTTTCATCATTCTCTCTAATGCTTAATTCAGTTCAGTTTAACAAATAGCTTTGTTATTAATAAAAAGAAAACAAGATAAAAAAAAATCATTACTTATAATTTAAAATAACTTTCTGTTATCAGCGTCTAAATTCGACTTAAAGAATAGATATTTTCACCTTCAATTTTACTTACACAAAGCATTAAATTAAAACCTATTTGATAAATGAATTTGACACAGTGAATTGCTTTTCTCAAAGTTTCGAGAGAAATGAAAGCCAAGAAGAATGCAACTGTTTCCTAATTTGGCCAATCAAAAATGGATTTAACGAAGGAAAATTAATTATTCGCCAACCCTTGAGTTTTCCCTTTATCTGATATTCAGGATTGAAGGAAAGGGGAAAGTTTGAAGACAAGGGAAACCAGGGGGGAATTTAGTAAGTCTTGGAAGGATTTTCACAACTTTAAGACTGCAAACAGAAAGCCCAAAGGTTAATCATTCAAATTAATTGAAAGATTTGTAAAGAAGTGTTTAGAAAACTAAATGAATCGATATCTAGAATCGGAATGCTGACAAAGCTGTTTTAATTAGTTTTGGAAAGATACGCGGAAAGAAATTTGCATACCCCTGATGGAAATACGATTAAATTTTTTAATTGTAAAACTAAATGCATGTAAAAAATCATTTTATAATTATTCTCTTAATAGTAACAAAATAATTCTTAATTAATTATCCAAACAAATTATAATTTTAGAAAAAGAATTCTGAATGATTAACGCATTCAAATTCCTACTCCGTAATCTACGTTTGTAACAAATATTCATTAAATAAACAATAATTTCAAAAATATTCAATCCAGGGTTGGAGTTTTTGCCGGCAAAAAGGGTTTTTTGCCAGGACAGTGGCAAAAACCTGGTAAAAAAAGGCAAAAACAAAATTATCTAAATTGCTGACTAAATATTATTACAAAATACTTGAAACAAATTTAAATCAATCATAAGGAATAATAATTTTGATACATTACATGAAAAAATTCTTTTTAACATATTAATAATTAATATAAGGGTAATAATTTTTAAAAGATTGAAAGTTTTCATTTTAGAATCCTTAAGTAAATGTTTTTTTACAAATAAATAAATATTATTTGAGCAAATTACATCGAATTATACTTTTTAAATAATACAATCTGAAATAATCGGCTGAAACTCATAAGTCTTTTATATAAACATATAACCAGTCTTTACAGGGGAGGAAATGAAGAAAATATAGTCGAAGGATCAGCAACAAAAATATATCATTAGTCCGTACACATTTTCACTGATCCATTTACAAAACTTTAATACACATTATTTTTTTTTAAAGTTTATAAAGTGAATTTAAATGAAAGATTGCAACGCAGAGAATGTGTAATGTTTCGAGTATCATTACAAAAACGTAGACCAAAACATAAAACAGAACATCAAAAAACCAAAACAGCATCGGTCCCTTCACATCAATTGCTAGTCAGGAGAAACACTGATAATTCATGGTGGTCCGAGTTAAATTTGAATGGTCACGGACCAACTGTCCATCGTTCATTTGGAGCTCAGTTTCTTTTTTATGTAACCATTGTTTTGCCTTAATTCGTTTTACATAAATATATAATCAGCGTTGAACAACTAATCAGTTATAGCAACGATCAACTTCTGATTTTATTATTAAACCAAAAGAAAAGGAAGCTGATGGATCAAGCATTAAGACAAAGACATGGAAAACTTTTAGAGTGAAACTAACTTGCATTTATGTAGCATGGAAGAAATTATAAAACCATATTCCACGGTTAAACTGACGTACATAAATTCAAACATATCATCCATCTGAGAATATTTTTTCGTAAAATTTCACAAAATAAATCTAGTCGAATTTAAATGGAAGCTTTAAATAAATTTTGGGATAATTTTGGAAGAAAATATCTGTTATTATCAATTGAGTTTGTAGAACATTACTATTATTTAATAATATGCCATGTATTTGTTGTTGTTTTTTCTAATTAAAAATTACTCCAAATATTTTTTGAAGGAAGGCGAGCAGCATAGAAACGCTGACTCCTAATAGTTTGGAGATAAAATCTAAAATGACCCTACTGTATGTAATTTTTGTGACGAGACAGTATTTCCGTAAAATATCATGGATACAAATCTCAATGTACTTCCTTAAAAAATTAATTTATTCTGGCTTAGTGCAACTTTCGAACATAAGTTTATTATTACGAAAAGTATTTCCTCGCTTAAGTCAGAATGAAATGCGTAAATTTTCTATAACTTTACGAAGAAAATCACTTTTTATTTAAGAATTGTTAAAAAAGCAAACAAGGGAGAGAAAAAACATAAAAAATGTTTTCAAACCACATCTCTATAAATCTTTTTTCGCAAATCCATCGATGGACCAACACCAACTGCAAACAGATCATGCAGGCATTACTGCAAACAGCGTTCGAAAATATATCGCCAACACCACAAACAGAATTCGAGCACGGTCAGTAGATTTATTTCGGGATCAAAAAACACACACTCAACCCTCTTTTCTACACGTAAATAAACTACTCGGAATATAAACTGCAGAACGCAAATATGAAAGAATAAAATATATCTTTTCTATCCACATGCTCTCACGAATTTTATCACCCCTATCCATATCCAAGTTTCTTTTTTCTTTCAGGTGCTCCCAAGAACCGGGATTGCCATGAGTCAGTTTTATTTATTTTTTTCATTCGAAGAATGTCCACAAGACGAAAAAGGAGAAGAGGAAAAACTTTGCGAACAGCATCGGATAAAAAAAAACTAAATCCAGATATACCGAAGCACGATATACGGAAAAGGATATAGAGAAAGAGAACTACATGAGTCGCATGTATAAGAAAACACGAACTAGCTGTTGTCCATTCCAGTGTAGTAGGGAGGAAGAGAAATCCCCGGATTTTCGATCTTGGGGATGGCTGACCCAGGGGACAACAAATAGACAGAAAAAGCTTACTGTAGCCGGAGGAAACGTCTAAATCTAAATCAAACTTCAGCTATAAAGTTTGAAGGCGAAATGCTGGGCTTTCTTTTCAAACTGGTAGTTACCGACCCTTCTTATGCTTTGAGCAGTAACAAAGCAGGTTAAAAGAACATTGGAAACTCGTAATGGGAGTTAGAGGAGAACTTCTGCTGTAAAAATAATCCCTTTACAGCCAAGGTAAAAAAAATAATTTCCCATTTGATGCGGGGGGGGGAGAGATTTGACGAGGGGAAAATTTACTATATCCACCAATGATGAAAATAATATAATGTATGGTATTTTAATTTTATAACGTCTTAGTAACATTATTTACAACAATAAATTTAGTATGTGAAAGTACAATATAGACTAGTGGACAAAATTAAGGGATGGAAAGCATTTTCGCACATTCATTCGCACATGCAAGATACCCGCACAACGCTCTATGTGTTTGACAATGGTTCCGTGAATGTCCAGAGGTACAGGCAGGAGGTCCTAGAGCCCTATGTACGTCTTTTCAGGGGCGCTGTTATCCCTGAGTTCATTTTTATGGACGACAATGCGAGCCACATAGAGCTCTCATGGTTGATGAGTATCTGGAAAGCGGGGATATTCAACGAATTGATTGGTCAGTCAAATCTTCTGACCTGAATCCTATTGAACATGATTGGGATGCTCTTGGGAGAGCTATTGCGATGCGCCAACCTCCCCACAGAACCATTCTGGAGTTAAAAATTGCTCTGGTGGAAGAATGGGAGGGTCTTCCACAAGTCCTCCTTAACTCCCTTATTAACAGCATGCATATTCGTTGTGCATGCTGTCTGTCTGTCAGGGGTGACCATACACCATACTAGAGGCAACACACACTGTTCAAGTCTCACTTTTATTGTCATCTTTCATCCTTAAGTTCAGACTACATTGGATTTATTGGCAATAGGTCTTGCCATAGAATGGCACTTTCATTTTTGTTTTGCATACTTTATCATGGAATAAGCTATATCTATACCAAATTTCATTTATTTATATTCAGTATTTTTTGAGATATTTGGGAAAATGTCTTCCATCTCTTAATTTTGTCCACCAGTGTACATGGATATGTAAATGGAAGGATTACATAGTCTAAAAAACACACATTAACTGATAATACAATCGAAAACGAAACGGAGTTCTTAATTTAATAAAATATAAAATTATTTTAACTACGACAAAATCTTATATAAATCCTGGGCCAGGATTCTTCACAAAATTACTAAAAACTACTCCCTAGATTAAAATGACTGTATGTGAATTTTTTCTAATTAAAATATCCCTTTGAGAAATTTCTCTAAATTAAAATGTATGTATGAGAAATTTCCCTAAATTCATATATGACCCGAATGAGAAATTTCCTTAAATTTAATTGCGACTACAAGATTTTCAGAAATGGATTGTGGTAATTTAAACATTATTCGCATAGATAATAAGATGGCTAAAGATTACTTTTTTAAAACTAAATTAAATCTCATATAGCATTGGAAACGGTTTATTAATAGAAAAAACTGTAACAATGGCAGTAATGAATTTCTTTACTTAAAATTGTACGACAATAACGATTTTCAGAGTGTTTTATTAAATCACGTGCTATTACAATTGCAATTTATAGGAAAAAGAAATAAAAAAAAGTA